CACGTGAATGAAATAAATAATTATCGCGCAGAGAAAGGTAATGAGTATTTTATGTTTAACTGTGGTGATACACTCCCCAGTAAATGCCGTTCGAAAGTATAAAATGATTTGAATCCAATGCTGCTATTAATAATATTAAAATGAATCGGCATTATGAATCAGTAAAATATACTTTTTAAGCAATACTTGAATATTTTTTGACAAATTTCTTCACGAAATATGTTTGCAAATAATTGAATATTTAACTCAGTTTCTCTTTTTCTTTTCAATCAGAACAGATATCATCAGTCATCAGTCCTTAAGTATGTGATGACTATTTTTAGATTTAATTCAGAATTTGAAAATAATGTTTGGAATTTTGAAGACATGCTGGGGGAAAAAAATAAAAATTATTAGATGTGATGGGGTTAAATTTCAGCGCTAAGCCTTGTATGTTAGACAGTTAAATAACTATCCTTATTCTTTATCTTTAATCCATATCTCTTCTATTTTCTTTCAAAATGAAATGTTTTTTTTCCATCTTATTCCTTCAAAAAAATTGATGTCCGGAATAAGTGTAATAGTGTTAGTGCAATGGAATCACATCTTCGTTTCCGTCTTCTACATTCCATTTCCGCGCTTAATCTTTTTCTCTGTTAGAAATGAATAGTTGATAATGTCTATTAGAAATGTATAATTTTTTTTTGCGAAATTTAGATGTCAACGATATTAAATCTTTTAAATGATGTTGTTTTGAGAAGAGAATAATCAAGGAAATGAGAAAAGTATTATTTCAGAAAGACTGAACGGAAGCATTGAGTGAGTACGTCTTTGCTATAAATGAAATGGACCGGAGCATATCCTATGTCCCTGTGTCTAAATATTTGTGTTAAACCATGAGTATAAAAAAATAGTTCTATTCAATATTTTTGAATTGATATATTTGAGATGCTAAAGAACTAACACACTTCTCTCTTATTTTCTTGAGTTAATAATGAAAAAGTTTTGCATTGCATCATGTAATGAAAATAAAATTAGAGTGAAGCTTTGAGAAGGATTCAGAGATCAAACAGAGTTAAAATAAGTTTCGGCTTATCTTCTTCATCTACTCTGTTTTACTAAAAACTTCATATGCAAAATAAGAGTGGAGTGGATGGATTATAATAATTATGAATTTCAAGTCTAGTTCGTTATTTTATGGTTGATTGTGAATTTATCGTTTCAGTGCGTGTCGCAGTTCTCACCCGCGGGTAACAGCTATGTATGGACTACAGATGATCTTCTTCCAGCATTCGTATACGTGACCATACGTGCTCAACTGCAACATTTAGGCGCCGAAATTCGTCTTATCGAAGATTTTGCACCACAGCTGGAAGGAAGTGGACAAATTGAACTGATGTTCACTACCCTTAGAGCTAGTTACTTTCAAATTTGCAGCGATAAAAATTTACCTTGAAGAGTTTTTTTTTGAAATCTCGAGTGCTTTGAGAAAAAAAGCGAAATGTTTGTTAATGACATGTTTACCATTTGATGGAAGGGTATTACCTTTTAATTTAATTTAAAACCCTTGCATCTAATATTTCCTCTATTATACCCACGTAGCACATTTTAAAAGTTTCAGTCATTTATTTCAATTTTAAATATCTTTAATACTATAATATTATGAGGATATGAATTTTCATTTCTTTACTGTGATTATTTGGTATGTATATATTTTGCAAAGTTTTGCTATTGTTAAAATTTCTGAATAGGAAAGATTGCTAATTTTTTGATAGTACTCTGTCGCAACCTCTTTTTATTTGAATATGAAAGAGCTTACAATTTATCGCAAAGATCATTTTACATTTTCATCAAAAAATATCTCTTACAACTTATGCATTTGGCATTACTGATAGACGCTCTTCTGATGATATCTTTGAGAACTCGTTGTTGGTTTGTTTAAGAAAATCGTCTTATTCGAATTTTAGTTAGAAGATAAAGAAATATTTTAATCATTTAGTTCATTTCTAAAAAAAATGTCATACTACACTCTGAAGATGAAATCTTATTACAAGCTGATATTTTTTTTTTGGAGCTGATCTTCTCATCTATGTACCACATTCGCTATCTCAATTATTTTGCCTATATAATTATAATCTTTAAACTTCCTTTTGATGTTATATTTTCAATCCAGCAAATGTGTTGTATAGTTCTTTCATTGTTTTACATGAATTGCTGAAGTAATTTCATTAAGCGTAAATTTGTAAATTTATAAGGGATAAAATTTCCATATTCGCTGGATCACACAACAGAAGTGGAATGACAATTACGGTGAACTGTGAACTGCTAAGACAATGCTTTAGCTGGTGGTATTCTGACTATCTGCTCGAAAATTCTGAACTCATATTCAGTTCTTCCGATTAATGACATTTTTAATGATACTATTTATTTTGAATATATGGTCGAGATTGACTGCTATATTTTGTTAATTTAATCGGGAAACTTCTAAAATAAATCGAGAAGTAAAATAAGACTAAGAGGAAGCAAAAAGAGTCATGAAAAAAATGACTTTGTAAATTCCATTTTTATTAAAACCACAATTTACAATTTCAGCTCTTTTCGGACATAAGTTATTTGGTTTTTTACCCTTCAATTAAACAATTTGTCATATACGAATTGTTTAAATTACCCGTATGACTTGAAGAGTAACTTCTGACATATCAGTTGATTACATATATTATTTTGTACTATTCTGAATCTAAATTTAATTTGTTCAAATTTAATCTTACATAAAAGTCCTGAAACTGACACTACTGATATCAGTTCCGTAATTCGAAATGATAAAATTGTGATTGTATCAATACCACAACTATCAACATTGTTAATAAGCACGTTTGTTGTTGTTATTTCGTTGTGATTAGATGATGGAAAACAACAATCGATTTTCGGATCAAATGAGACCAACAAATTGTGTATGTATGCAATATGATCGTTCCCGATTTTCTGCGCACTATTGTTGTTTATCGTTGCGATCAGTAATAGTTGTTCATCAACATTTTCTGGATAAACGGATATATCCAATCCATTCAACTTCATTTCCCAATCATTTGGTAGTCATTGATATTCTTCATTATTATTCAACAACATCAAGAAAAAAAAATTAATCAATTTTTTAAAATTTTGAATAATTCAGGAATTAACATGTTCATTTTGGATGGTTTATGGTTGAATTTATCAAAGAGAACGAATAACAATATCGCCTCAGCGCTTCTAATCACAACCATCCTATGTACCATTCTAACAATCGTCCGTCCTCAACAACAACAACAACAACAACGACAGTCAAATTTGAATGATAACGATAATCTTTACATTCTCATTGATGAGATTAGTGTTTATACATGTCGAGGAGGTATGTATGCATTTTCTGGACAAGTAATAATGTTTTTGTCATATTACCTTTTAGGCTTTTGACAAAGCTCTTGATTGAATTGTTGTTATACGGCTTATTATCTAATAGTATTTCTTTTTTTTTTTTAATTTGGCAATGACCAATGACCATCTGTTCATTCAATATGTAATATTTCTCGCATTATTGTTTAAAGGGTATTTGCAGCTAAAAATGAGATTAAGCTAACGGAAGATGATATTAATATTGTGAATGAGAAAGGTAATCGTGTATACTTTATCAAGGCACCCGGCAAGTACTCTTTACATTTCAAAAAGCTTGTTGTTACCAAAAATATTGGATATTTGAGTGGCGAAATTGGTGTCACACTTCAAGTGCCAATTATCGAAGGTCCTGCAGGTTGGCACTCAAATTTTGAATTTAGATTTTTGAAACTTTTTAATGAACAACACTATAGAAATATTTCTTTTTGATACTTGCAGGAATTCGTTTCGATTTGCCTTATACAGTGGTACCGGAAACTGGAATTTTAGACCAGGAATGTGACAAATACAGCGGTGTCATAGAGCGTGGTAATCGCCAGTACTGGTAAGCTTATTGATTTTAGGGAATTTCGTAACTGTCATAATGCTTCTAGAAAGCAAAATGCTACATAAAGAACGTTGATTTCGGTTGAAAGATCAAGCATTGAACGCTTGAAATTGTTTATTTTTCTTGCCAATTAGACGTCATATGAAATCGAAATACTCAGTAGCAGTTCCCTAAATTCGGGTTTCTTCCAAAAATTGAGAACGGTTTTACTTTTTTGAAAGAATACTTTTCAATACATTCCCATCGAAATAATACTTGTAAAATATATCTCAAGGCATAAATGATATAGAAAATGTCAAAATATAGATGGGAATCTATTTCTTCTTGAGAGACTTTCTTATGTTTCCGGAATACAGCTATATCCAAGTTTGTGCTATATCTTAGTAACATCGAGAGTATCGTATCACAAATCGTTTTAATGATTTCAACGATTTTCATCTTCATTCGAATTACGGAACAAAATAATATTACTCACTATTTTTACATCATAGCTTATCAAATACCTGGATATTCTAGTCGTTACTGTGATATCTGCGGACTTACCGCTAAACTGGAAACGGATTTGAATAATAAAGGTCATTTATTCTTGCCCGAAGTGGCACGTGGCACTGAAGAAAAATTTGCGCCATTTTGTAATCGAATTGCATCGAATATTTATGAATTCAATCGGACGATTAATTTACCTGGTAGACGTGAACTGGAAATGCTGATCAACGAAAAAGTTCAGGGACTGGACGGTGAGATTCGTCAGCGTCTAAATAAAAAAGTACTTTGTTTATGTTTACTTAATATATTTCAAAGAAGGTTCACTTCTCTGATATGGGAACTGAAACAGTCGAATGGCTTGCGAATGGTTGCGATTCTAAAATTCTCTGTAGCCTCAAGGATATTATCGGAGAATGACCTAATCATTAACTTCAATTTCACTAATTGAGTAAGAAAGCCAGGAGTAATACTTACGATTTGTTTAAAGCATGCTTACTAAGATGCGCTTAAATATTTCTATTTAGACCAGCAATGCAAGAGACTTAAAGACATAGACTATTTCCTATTCAGGCAAAAAAGAAATTATTTTCTATTCATATAATTACAATCTCATTTCAACATGTTTAAAATACAAAATATAGGATTCAAAATAAATGATATTTCAGCGAGGTCGGTTTCAAGTATTTCTGAATTTAATTAGTGCCGAACAACCAGCAATCAAACAAGACGATTGGTTTGCAAAATCCGCTGATGTAAATGTTTTTTTGCAGTGTTTTTTTGTCTTGTTAGGAACTCGGTAATTGGCTACTACAATTTGCTTAATTCATGCACAATTAATAAAATAAATATTATTTATCAATAAATCGCCTTGATCTTCTTCTTTAAAGTCATGAAATTATTGAAATTGTTTGATGTCTTAAATTTGAATTATTAGATAGATTAAATCAGAAAACCCAAACAAGAATTAATTACTCTCTCTTGTAATTACTTTTGAATGATTATTTCACATACTTTTCGGCTTATTTTCACTATTTCAAACAAAAAATTTTCCTTCTATAGAATAAATTTATAGTTTAAACATTTATAAAATGAAAAGTCCTTTAATCTTCAATCTTTGATAATTTTTTTGTCCGAAATGGCATAACTTTTCGCATTGTCAAAATAATATTCAAAAAGAAGTATAAATGAAAAAGCGAAAATTTCAGTGCCGGTGTTGTTGGGATGATCACAGCACTTCGTGCCATGGCGTGCTAAGCTTTCTGTACTGCAATAAAGAAGAATGCAAGAATAGTTGGGCACAGCGCTGTTTACACCATACAGCACGTATTATCGCATGTTACACTGTTGAATTTAATTATCACACGACAATTTCATATACAGATGTCATTCAATTTCTGAATGAAAACAATTATCCGAATCAAGAAACGGTCACGTCAATACCGGCAATGCAGTGAGCTTTGTATTTCTTGGAAAAATTTTGGTAGATTTTATCGAATTATCAATTTAAATTACTTAACATATTCAAAAATGCACTATGTTCATCCCTTTTGATTGACTAATTATTCAATTTTGAAAGCTAACAAATCAGATCCTTCTGGCTCCATATAATTCATTGGTTTCTTCATTCATATTCTTTTTTTTACGTTCCATTATTTATAATCAATTTCCTTTCTAAGATCAAATAAATTACTAATCTATGTCCCGTAGTCGATTTCACACTTCAAGATCCTTCGGAAGCAGAAATAACTGAGAATTTGTGTGATATTATCATCTTACAAATTATATTTAATCTATGCAAATTACTTTCAGGAGAACTTCACCGCATCTATCGGATATTGGTGAAATCAGTAATGTTGTCCAGACTTTAACCGAAAGATGTGTGGCAAAAATGCCTCAAAGATTGACCCATTTGCGGCGTTACTGTGCAATCTTCTGGAATGATAAATTGTGTTGTTCACATTGTCCTGACGTATGTCAATCTTAGATTTTTTAAATTTTAAATTCAACAAAAATTTTAAGTTTAAAAATTTCCCACACTCTTTTATTAACAGAC